GAGCTGTGTTTCAGAGCCACCACACTGAGTTGTAATGCTTGGCTATAGCACAGAGCTGCTCCTCTCTGCTGCAACACTTCTGAGCATCCCAAGACCAAGCCCTAACTTCCAGGGGAACCTCTTCCCCACCCCACCCAATGGCTGGTGCAGGCCCAAGACCACACGTTGGCATTGCTATGGAGAAGAGGCCCTGTGAAAAGCCACTGTCACCTTTTAAGGGAAAGAGAATCAGGCCTGGGCACTGATGGGCAGCCCTGAGAAAGGTTTCCTCCGCTATGATGTCATACAGAACAGGTGGGGTGTGGCAGAATGTGGGTGAGCACCGTTACCAAGGCACTTGCCACACAGGTGGCTGCCAGAAAGGTTCTAGCAGACCTAGGGTCAGCACCCTACTGGCCTAGATCTGTGCGACTGAACCTTGCCCTGTCATGTTTTTGCTTTATTTCTGGGCTATGCTGTTGCTGCACTGGCAACAGCTGTGCCTGCCCATCCTGGCTGTCCCACAGCCAGGCTGGACCCCATACTGAGTTCACCTGAACTCTGAGCCCCTAGCAGCTAATAAGGCCTCTTCCCTCAATTCTGATCTCCCACTCGAATCACTCACTGGCCTTACTCCCCCAGAAGAGCCTGGGGGCTTTGTTTACCCGGATTCCTCAGTGCCCACCAAGATGTTGTCTCCACCTCAGAGGTTTGCAGGACAGCTGTCCCCACAGCTGGATAAGGTTGCTGCCCCACCTCAAGGTCTGCGTGCCAAGCTACCTTGGCAAGAGAGGCTCTGAAAACTGGTTCTGAGGTCTGCAGCTGTTCACACAAGGCCCGCCGAGGTGACGCTTCCACCACCAAACCTGATTCTGGGCACAGTTGGACCTTTGGACCCACAGCTTACCAGAACTCGACCGTGGACTGCAGAAGCCAGAGTTCCTCCAGCTGTGCGGAAGCCTCTCTCCTCCCAGCCTGCAAACCCCGCTGAGTCTGTCACTCAACCTCCAGCGCCTCCGGAGACGGGAGCTCCAAGTCCTGGTCAGAAGCCCACTCAACATCGCCCATCACGCCTGGTCGCAGGCCTACCTTCCCACGTGGATCCCAGCAGCACTGCCGTGCCCTCCACAGGGGCTGCACACTCTCCGTCCCTGCAGAAATCTACAGCTCCTGTAACACAGACTGGGGTGACGCTGCCATGCCCAGACCAGGTTCAGGCTCAGCATCCAATCCTGACTGAAGTCACCACTCAACCAGCAGAGGTGAAGGCTCTAACTGTGCTAAGTGCACAGAGCAGCACGACACACAAGGACATATGCGAGCTCTGTTCCTGCCAGGAGGAGACCCTGTCTTGCACTGACCTCGGCCCCACCCGCAGGCTGCAGGAGGCGCCTGCCCTCTAGCCCAGTGCCCACAACAGGACCTTCACCATCTTAAATTTCCAAGGAAATTCTATTTCTTCCCTTGATAAGAATGTTTGGAGAATATACCAGTGGGTTGAGAAACTAAATCTCAGTGGAAACTCCCTGACTGAATTACGAAAAGACTCCTTTGCAGGCCTGCT